TAAAAAGATTAAAATTTACTAATAGATTCGAGATATTATAGATATTGGAAATATTACTTTTTTAGGAAATTTTTGAGGTCTTAATTATATTATTAAGGGAGTGTATAGTTACCTAAAAGCTCTTTGTTAGAATAAAGGCTCTTTATCTATAACCACGTGATTTAGGCCAGTATAAAAGGCCTTCCTTTATCTATAGGATCATTGAGAATTCAAGAATCTTACTTTTCATTAAGAAACTCGTATTCTTCATTCATCTACACAAATTATCTACCTTCACTCAAAATCGTACCTCCAAGAAAGAACTGGGATAAGATTAATTAGAATACCTTTGTTCAGCACATTTTATACAAAATATTCTTTTAATCGCCAGAATTCTAATATCCTAATACACCTTATAACTATCTCAAACTCCATTACGGACTAGCCATTTCATTTTCATTTTTATCGAAATTATCCCGCTTATACGAGAAGATCTTACTCAATCGGTTGAAGATGTTACCAGGCTGCGTGGGTGGCGGTAACAACGATTCTCTTCATAATGATTGTCAAACAAAGGTAGAGGGTCTTGACCGTGGCAATCATGCAGATCCCGAAGAGTCTCTGCAATTGTTTCATCCAGCTCCCGCTTTCTGAAAATCGTGGGCTGTCTTTTCGATAGCCGAAGGACGTAGACAGGAACTATTGTCTTGCATTCATGAGCAGTTTCATAGGTATAATCGTTGTTATTGAGGTCGAGTACAAAATAGGAGTGTTTCCCGCGGTAGATTGTGGTAGCGATAAAACGAGTTGTATTGTCTGGATGGTGTTTTTTGAGGCATTCCTCGGTCTCTGAAACAAATGGATATATGGATGCTAAATAATCTTCGGGGTCAAGAATACTAGTTGGAGTATCACCGAGTATTCGTATTGTGGCTGAACCCACATTGACGTCTTGTAAAAATTTAGAAAGGACCACCCGGATTTGGCGAATAATATACCCGCGAATCTCTTGGGTTGAGCCGTTCATGGTGGGTGTGATGAGAGAGTGAACATTGATGGCCTTCCATCTGAGATACCTGGATGAAGGGAGGCATTTAAAGGGATGCCCATACCCTTCGACAGAAGGGTTAATAATTGTCCGTGTCCCCCAGGTAACCTACGCACTGTGATGCCAAGCGGCAGTGAACTTTAGAGGATATATGCCTGGGTTTAGATGTGACTAGGGTCAATAATCTGGAAAGGAACTGAGCGATGTGCTGGCCAGTATTTCCAATTGCACTAATGACAAGATTAGATTTCTTCGGATGGTACTAGTAGTCAATGGAAGAAGGAGGAGTGACTATATCCTAGGAATATAGATGCAATGAAGGGCTGGTTATCCATGGCTTTGTATACAATATTAATAGCCACCCTCCTTGGTGTATGGTTATTGGTATATCTACCCTTCAAGATGTGGTTATATAGGCCATAATAAGATCATGGACGATTCACAATGGCGACCTTCTGTCAATGTGGTCGTGGTGGCTCTAGAAACTATATGGAGTATCTGCCTCCTCTGGAATGAATGCCGTCTGTGGCTTTTAACAGCTTTTTCGAGATCTTTATCATTTTTGGACAGATAAGGTGACAAAGGCTGTTGAGGGATATAGCGAGAAGTTTTATGAGTATCTGCGCTGTGGAGAATGATCTCGGGCCCCTCTATTTGCAATGGGTCTCTTGGCCCTTATTTTTTTTGATTGAATAGGTTTTTCTAGATTGCAGTGGTCGTTCTAGTAGTAGAGTTACGGTTCCTGATTGTGAACTGTATCCACCACGTTGGGTGCACTCTCAGTTGCTCATAGTTCCGCGATAGTAATCCGACTATGATTAACAGAGGAGTTCAAGAGTATAAAAGAATAAGGTAATATCGAAGAATCTTCTTGTTGTTCGAGTTTCAGCACGTAGAAGACAGATTTTATACCAAATGCCATATGCAACCAGTTACTAAGATAATCTTAGTTAGTACCAGGACTGAATACTCGATATTTTACCCGGGATGAGATATTTTACTATTGTTTCATCTTTATGTATACGACTTAAGTTAATATAGAAATTGGTGGGCATGTTAGAGATGCACACACTCCAACTACTGTTTGTAGCGTTTTGTGGAATCAATATTCTGCTTGTCGACGGTTTCTTTGTCTGTTAAGCTTATTCACCCGCAGCACAGAGGGCGAGACTTGGAAAAATAGTTAATGTATAGCAGTACAAGACTTTGTAAGTGGGATAACTCAAGTAGAGGACAGAGAACTGAGATGGTGTGGTAATGAGTGCTGGAGGTGTTAGAATCTTTGTTATATAGTCAACGGTAAGAGTATGTATAATAATAAATCCAGCTATGCTAATTGATACAGTCACTGGATATTGTAGTTAATATACCAACTATCAGAAAAGCTAGATTACCTATATCACTGAGGTGAATATTTAGCCATTGCTGGCCGGCAGATAGTACGAATAAAGAATATTCGCACGATTTATTATGGCTTAACATGTCTGGGGTGGGAATACTATCAGAATTACAGAGATGTACGACGGTATGCGCTATGTTTTTGTTGTACTATGTATGCCCCATGACAGGCAGTACAGTTGTGTTAATTCGATTAACAAGTTTCAAGAGTTCGATGAAAGGTTAATGATATGGTACAATCCACTCCCATTCTACCTGAAATTGCTATAATCTACGCCCAGAGATAATGTATTAGAATAGTAAGTTTTAATTGCTCGAAAATGTATGTCTGCCTTCCCTGGGGATTTATTTGATAGTATTGAGCTCTCTACTTGTTTAGAACAGGCAAGAGGCTCTATAATAGTAGTCGATGTGATAATGGGTAGATCATCTCTTGATTAAAATTCTACCCAGGATTTTGAGATGTCCCCCAATTGCCCTCCTATGCCCTTGCTGAGTTGGTCTTGTCGCCATCTCTCGCCTGAAATCTAATCTTCCTAGGCATACTTTTTCCTTGAAAGTATAGAAACCCAGGGGCGAATTATAAACAAGTATCTTATCTCATAGAGCACTACACTGGGCCCATGACGGTTTACTAAGCAGTGTAAGAAGATCTATGAAATGTGTATGTTCCCTTCTTAACAAGAACCGTACGGGCACTGTAGAAGGAGAGGTGTAGGGTAGCACTAAGCACGCCTGGGCCGTGTACTGCAGTAAGAGGCATATATGCATCGAATTTGAATCGATACTATAGTTCTATCTAGCAGGCCAGCAGCTCGGCATCATATGTAGCGGATATCTGAAGAATATTGCGTATTTATATAGAAGGTAATATAATAATGGGACTAAAAGGTAATCGTTTAACCTACGCAGAAATAATGAAAGATAAAGCAGCTCTTTTTTAATTGAGGTGACACCGCCAGAAGCCTACAAGAAGAAGGTCAGTCTCGGGGCTGTAGCCCTGCCCTTGATACGACAGAAACTTCCTCTGTTGGAATATATCTTCATAGGTAACAGTCATGAATATGAATAATAGAAAGAGGAAACTGAGAATGACTGGCATAGTCATCTTGAGTGGTGTGGTCAATGTAGCGCCCTATTTGGTAAAGAACCAGAGGTACTATAACTGACAGGCGCATGTCAAAATATATCGCTGACACTTGTACTAGAAAATCCCGACTGCAGCTTGTATAATCGAGTGTTCTAGTTTTGAATACACGCCGTACAGTTCCTTGAGAAGGATGGAAATATATAGAAACGCTCTACATACCTTAATTGTCAATAGCCAACTTAGGGTTGCGAATTATCGGGTCTGTTCAGCATCGGAGCAACAATCAAGATGAGAGTGGCCGAGCACCTAAATTTCACTTTGGATTCAGTAATGTCGAGATAGGAGAAAAAAGTGAGGAAGAATAGGAGTTATAGAACCAACTAAGGCAAAAAAGAAATCTCCCCGACTGGGAGTCGAACCCAGGTCTCCCGCGCTTGTTCCTGTAAGGGATGACAAGCGGAAATCATGACCGTTAGACCATCGAGGATTTGTATTGTTTTATTGCTCTATTTCTAAAATTATAAATCAAAAAGCCTTATTGTGCCAAAAACCAAAGTGTCTCATCTACCCAAGTCCCTAAAACTTCCTCACCTTCGATTCTGTATGCCCAAGAGACCGTGTAATTTCCTTAACGCTTCATATATTCTGTAGGAGATAGGTGAGATGGTTGCTTGGTGGAATATACTGGGCATTCTGGTTGTTCACGGTGTTGAAACAAAGCCTTTGGTAGAAAGAGCCGGGGTGATCTACAAGATCTACAGTAACGCCTCCTACCCCCGGCCTTAATAGTCTTTAGATTATCAGGGATCATTGGAGAATACAATAAAGTGCCCTTCAATCGCCCTTTCTCCTAATGTCATTCCCATTTAGTCGGTAATGCTTCTGGGTTCATGTAATGATCTGTAGTGTAGATATTAAATACACCTTATGCTTCGGCCCTCGGTCCTCGGTCCTCTGTACACAGTATTTCACAATATTTATACCAGGGGTTTTATAGTTATGTTAGGATATGAAATATTTACCTAATCGATCCTTCCGGCCCATCCTGTCCCGTCCTTGAGGCACAATGGTAAGTCCTAATAACATCGTAATCATATATACCTGTGACGGGCCTTTTTTGCTCGACTTTTGAACAACTTAAAATTTACGGAAATGCGTAAAGCAGCAACAGCCAGCTCAGCCAAGCTGTATCATTGGTAACAGCCCCAAACTTATGTCTGCTCTATTATATCTCTTGCTCCTGTCAAAGTTTTAAGTCTCGGCGGTTCTCTTTATTTCGGCCTGCAATTCCAATATTTGTTACACTTATGTGAATTTGTTATCAGGTCGACTAGGTATATTCGGAAGGAGATGAAGTTCTAGCCCCAGAAGAATTATTCGTGGACTTTTTCAGAGGTAATAACTGTACAGTACCTTGATTGCCAAGGATCAAGGCACCTTGATGTGTCAACTCTATTGCGGTCTGCCAAAATTTAAAAGTCTACTAGGGCTCGTCTGGTAATGGTCAATTGATCCTAAATAAATCTTGCATTGTTCAAAGTATTCTCAGCTATTCTAGAATATTGCTCTTTATGGCCTAGCACGATGAAGATTAAGAATGGACCTGTATTCTGCTCAAAAACCGTTAGTGAACAGTGCACATCAAATCAATGAAGCGATGTATAGTATATGATGGATCTCAGACAAAATATACTGGCAAGTAGCAGACCAACCGGGAAAGGAAGGTCCGAATGTCTCGTCAGGGGCGATTCAGAGATAGTAAAGAAGAAAGGTGTGTTTTGTCATCTTCGAAGAAGGGGAGAAAGAGTGGGAGAGGAAGACTGAGAGACTGACCTTCATTATACCGCGCAAGGATCAGCTAATATGACCTGATCTTTGTTTTGTTAGTCGAGTTGTGGTACGATTGACCGTTGTGAAAGGTGAGCAAAATCCGTGATCATTGGCCACGTCAGACATGACAGTGCAATCGTTGCATGTGCTCAGACATTCTCGAACAAAGCATGCGGTTGACCTGTAACTTGTTCTAAACCTTGTCGAAAGAAATTTGAGAGGTAGAAGGATAGGAGAAGAAGAGAAAAAAAATTCGCGCAGAAGAAACCGCGACAAAGAAATAGAAAAAAAAAATAAGAGGAGGCAAAAAAGTTTTTCCCGCGGCGGATCATCTCACGTGAGACCTTCCTGGAGAGGACTAGCGTTTCGCATGATTCGCGCCGGACGATTGGATTGAGAATCGAAGAAAAGCCTCAGGGCCAGCAGATCTGCCCATGAATCTCTGACCCTTTTTCCTGCTTTTTTCGCCTCTCGCTTTCTTTCTTCTGATTTTTTGTTTTTTTTCTTGTTCCCCCGTAGCCTAGTTCTTGCCTTGATCCACTCACGGCAGTTGGGCTCCGTCGTTATTCCAGTTCAACTCGTGGCGGTGTTTGCGTGCCCACCGTATTGGATTTTCTTGGGTGAGGGATTGAAACTGGCGATCGCGACAGGTGCCGTCTGC